ATTGTTTTTACTTAAATAAAAGAAAAATGTGTCACTCATGAGAGTCGCATCTTCGTTATGCCCTTCCATTCTGGGGTACTTGCTGCGCGACAAAATTTGATCGTATTTTCAAACTTCAAAAGAGAGCAGTTCGATACTTATTGGGACTAAACAGTAGAACTCACTGCCAGAATTTCTTTAAAAATTTCAAAATACTGACTCTTCCTTCCTTATTCATTTTTGAATCCGTTTGCTTAATCCGCAAGCACATATTCTCTATTCCGGAAAGGCCTTCTCACAACTATCCACTTAGGAATGCGGAGCACGATATTTATCTGCCAACCCCGAGCTCAGAACTAGTTAAGGGCTCAATACTGTACAATGCCAAGAAAATGTACAATCATTTGCCTTCGAATATCAAGTCACTTTCATTCTTTCCCGCATTTCGCAAAGCTCTGAAATCATACTTACTGGAGAGAGCCCTATATGCGGTAAACGACTTTTTTGTTGATGTTTAATCATGAACAATTTAGAATTTTAATTTTAATATTTTGATCATCTCACACACTGGTTAAAGGTCTAGTATTTAATATTTTATAACTCTTGATTTTATGTTATTATAACATGATTTTATCCATTTACAGTTTTCCTTTTGTAAAATTTTCTAGATACGCCTGTGTTCTGCAATGTCCATATATGTTTATTTGTAATTTTATGACGTAAATTTTTTTTGAATTGATTTGTATTGTATGAAGTTTTTTGTATTATTTGTATATTTGTTTTGTGCTTTTTTTGTTTTGCTTTGTCGATGAAGCTGTTTTGGCTTTTTGTACAATAAAGCGTTGTTTTTTTTTTTTTTCATCAGTTAACATATTTTATAACATAGCTATGTTTAAGCGCCACTATTACATTATCGACAATCACGAGAGTCAAAACAAAAATAGTTGCCAGCTCGTTCTAAGATTTTCATCAGTTAACATATTTTATAACATAGCTATGTTTAAGCGCCACTATTACATTATCGACAATCACGAGAGTCAAAACAAAAATAAAGAAAAATGATCAAAACAAATAAGTATTTAAATTTTATTTTATTGCGCGCGATAATCGAGCAAAGAAAAAATCTAGTTTATACAGCTCGTTCTAAGATGGAGATAACAATTTGTTAATTATAATTATTTATTTAAACAATTAATTATTAAGTTTAAAGTGATATATAGCGTGAACCAAAAATAGGCACCACTCTAGTAATTTACTCTAATAACAGTAATATTTTATTCTGTCAATTAAGAAAAAAATGATAATAAGCTGGTCACGTATATAGGGTGACACAAGCGTAAATGTACAATTTTAGGAAGTTACTTCAATTTCTCTTTAGTATCTGGCTCATAATTGTCGTAGAATAATTGTGCATCTATTACCTGATAGTCGAAGATTCTATTAACATTAGGATTTATTTAATCTGAGTCAGTCCATAAAAACTCCGTTACTTAACAACAGGAAAGATATTCGTTATTCAATAAGAAACCGTGGTAAAGATCAGTTGCTATTGAATACTTATTTTTCTCTCAACAGCATTATCATTTGAGAAATCCCTTACCTACATCAGAAGTGGGATTTTTTATGTAGTGTGTGCGAATTGATCGCAGTAAATTCTTGAAATGGTAATACCCGTTAAAGATAGAGCCGTCCTATATTTTGGAAATTGAAAATTATAATTTCTTTTTTCTTTTTCTTTTTCAGAGATAGATATTGTCCATTTGCTGACAGTGTAGACTGTTCACTTGCTGATAATAGATTATCCACTTGCTGATAATAGATTATCCACTTGCTGACAGTGTGTATATGTCGCAGACATATCGAATAACTCGGTATTTTACAATAAGACTGGGTATATTATAAAATGCCGGCATTTTTAACAAAAGAAGGATATTTTACAAACAGCCTATCTTTTTTTAACCACTTTTATTAGTTTATTTCAAAAATGACAGATCATATTTCAATTTTATTGGTTTGACGATAGTTTGACGGAACGACAAACGGACGCCGATGCGTATGAACTCGCTTTTAGATTTTTGAGGCTTGTCAAAGTCTTGCCAAATTATAGGTTATAATTTTGTGTCAACTTATGTCAAATACCCTGCCTTTTGGGAGATATGACGTATTTTGATTCGTGTTATTACGTGTGTTCTGTGTCTTTTGAATTCAATTGGAGGAAAAATCGACGGAAAATTAACTATAGAGCCAGAGCACAGTTTATGGGTAATACTCGCTGCCCAGGCAGAAAGTCTTATACACCGATAAAGTTAGCATCAATAAAGTTTGTATACCATCTCGTCGTATAAAAGTGCATCTCGTATATGGTACAAGGATCGTACTAAACATATACTAAAAACTGGAATAGTTGTAAAATATCGACATCACACGATAGGTAAATAATGGATTTTAGTACCGCAGAAAAATAATATTAAAACATACTGAACATACTGGTTTAAAAAAATTAAGATTAAAGTTCCAAGTAAAGGTTCAAGGTTATGGTCCAGGTTACGGACATTATCCAAGGTCCTAATAGTGTTCCAAGGTTCGGGTAGTGTCCCCATATGGCCACAGTATGGATACAGCGTAAGCCCCGTGCTGCTTCGCTCCCATTTCTAAGCCTAGTCAGTAGCTACGGCTGTATTGATTCATGGTGTCCTCATTCTGGCCTCTTTTGTTGTTTTGGCCAACAGGATCGCCGACAGACAGTACAGAGATATGAGCCTACCTCACGCTGCTACTCTTCGAAACAGGATTGCCTCAAGAACAGCTAAGTGTAGATTTAGGTTCAGATTTTCAGTCGATTTTCAGTCTTAACTTAATAACGTACATTTTAAATAATATCGTACAGACTATATTTAGTGGTTAGATTATTAAGAACATTTATGTCGATTTAGTAGTTACAATATGATTTAGATTTTAGGTTTCATTAGATTACGCCTTGTAATAGTATTTAACCACTATAATAATTATTATTAAAATTGTACAATGCTATTTACCATCAGAATTCATCATGAATAAATATAGCCATTAGTTTTAAGTAATATACAGGCTGTGTTTTCTTTCTCTGTACATGCCTGGCGCCCAATATCTATTTCTTTTGTTTATTGTTATTAAATAGTTTTCTTTCCAGTGAAATACCTTATCCACGACTGCTCTCCGATGAAAAGCTGCCGTTCGCAGTGGTAGTTGTTATAAAAAACGCTACACCTTTATTTGGCATACCTTTATTTGGCACACCTTTATTTGGTCAATATATATTAATTTTATTTATGTTGTTGTATTTATTACTGTGGAATATTATAAATTTGTATTTGCACATAAGTTGTATTGATAAATATATGTAATGCTCCATCTTGTTGAAAAATATAGTCTTCGTTTGGAAACAACTTTCATTCTTGAGCACTAGGCAAAAGTGAGGTCCCAAGTATATGTTGATATTTTTGGACGTTAACAGACGTTAACCATCTATTTGCCCAAACCTCTTGCTGACATGCAACTCCAAACCATAATCCCCTTAGGAAATTTAACAACCCTCTTTAAGCAATCTTTATGAAAGGCTTCTGCTTTATTTCGTATTATTCTTTTTCGATGATCTCCAACGCAAACATTAAATTTAGACGCATCGCTAAATATGAGCTTACTAGTTGAAGCATGGCGCATTCGCCACGACATCAGGAAAACTAAATACTTTTTATTATTTTTTAATTAAATGAAAAACAAAAAATCCGGCAACGACAGTTTTCAGAAGAGCCAATTAGCTATCTTTTAGTAAAAAAAGCAACTTTCTAAAGCAAGTCGTTACTTCAGTAGAGACGACACAGATAAACATTAGCATTTTATATATATAGATTCCAATCATTTTGTGTCCACGATAATTTAGATTTTGCCCAATTGTAGCGGTTTTCTTTTGAATTTCTGTCAGTAGCGGTTTTTCTTTGGCTTAAATGAGAATTTGTATCAATAATCTTCAGGTAATTGATTATCCACACAAAATAAAGTTTACCTTGTAAAACCGCAGACCGCATTTATGGATATATTTTCGGCAACATTCTCTTGATATATTTAATCCAGTTACAGTATTCCATTTAACTGTTACTTCGCAAAGAGTACTTCTTCTCGCAGACTTGCAAATTTTTACTAAATTTCGTAAATCTCTCTGAGATACAACTTTTGGCCTTCCCGAACTTTTACCTCTAACGCCTACACTGGCAGATTCGCCGTATTTTTTATTATATTAAATACCGTGGTTTTTGGAATACTTAAATCATGAGAAATTTTTCGAATTGTTTTTCCCGTACTGTATTGACGAATGATAATTTCGTGTAGTTTTTGATTTGTAGCTTTTCCACGGATCATTACTTTGGATTAAATTAACAAAATTGAAAATTAAAAAAATTAAAATTACTTACAGTAAGTCTCACTACTCAAAGTATCGAGTCACTTACAAGCTGTCAATGCTGAAGTAAACAGTTTGCGACATTTGTGACGTTTATAGCAAAGCCGCCTATGATATTAATTATTTAAAAAAATACTTGTCCCAACATTTAGTTGTCAGGCAAATTTGTCCTTTTATGAACAAAATCCGCAACTGTAAATATCGATTGATTTACAAATTCATAAAAATATTGCTAATAAACATTAAATATGTTTATATTTAAAAAATTAAACACATATTTTTCAGTCATTTTGAAAAACCAGGGCAATAATTCCAAAATATGACCTTGTCCCAACGTATAGTTGTTAGGGCTCGTATTTAAAGGCTTCTTTTCTTGGATTATCGGTTTTGGTATCAGTGTACCACATTATGGTATGGTCCTTTAAAAATATCGTTTAATATAGTTTCAATTTTTGTTTGAACACTTTGTAAGCCGAAAATTCAAAGTCCATTTTTACGTTTGGTTATGAAAAAGGGGCTCGACAGATTAAGAAGTCAAAAAAGTTATCGATAATAACCTTTAACCTATTTTTCGATATAAAACTGTTAAATGCAAAGAAATATAGCGCATTTCCTTGTCGCTCACGGGCTAATGTCAGTAACAATACGGTTCAATGTCGACATACCATATGTAGTTGGTTAACCAGTTCAAATATTGAGCAAAAAAACGGCTAAGAAATAGGCAAATACTTGGTTAAAAAGAAAGAAGAATCTGTGATAAAGTGTCTTTGAAGAAAAGGAGTTAAAAATGACGCGTCCCGTTTTGCTAACTGAAAATTCCCGTAGTGTTCTTGTTTCTTCGGGCGGTGAGAATGTCAACCCCAGAAGCTTGCCTCAGTTTGTTGGAGCGTTTGTCAGTAAGTAGAAATATTCTAAAATTCTTTAAAAAATTTGAAATTTAGATTTTTATAAACGTTAAGTTATTCTGTCAAAATTAATAATAGTTATTTTGTCGTCGACCGAAAAGATTAATTGTGCTGGGTTGGTGTTGGTTTCTGTGAAATTTGACAAATAAATAAAGCTGTCTCTTTAGTTGTCAGTTTTGAGTCAATATTTTTTAATTCTCTTTCGTGTCGATTGCTGATTGAATTGGAGCCAGAAATGGCTCAAAACGAAATAAGGAAATTACCAACAGATATTCAGGCTGAGGCGACAAACGCCATATCCAAACTACTTCCATTTAAATCCCGAATAACTTATGAAAAGGAATACAAACATTTTCAAAAATGGAAGCAATTAAAAAACGTGCCAGAAAAAATTTAGTTTTTAACCTATTCTCGCTGTTAAAGTATCATTTAATCTACCCTTTTGGTTAAAGTACTATTTTATCTACTATTTTTGATAAATATAAGGCAATTTTAACAGTTGCTATGGAAAAAAAGATAAATTAAAATACAGTATATTCCCGGATTGTCTTTACAAGAGGAAAAACTTTTTTATTATTGACATTTTGAGAAAAATGCATTCTTGATAAAAAATTTTACTTGTTCTAAAATGGTAATTCCCGTTTATACTTTTCCAAATTTCCATACCGTTTTAGAGAAAGTAAAAAAAAAACATCAAAATGTAGTTGAATTTTTTCTAAGCCCTAAAAATCAAAATGCGTTTCATTCTCTCATGAACTCATTCTTTGATAGATAAATGTTAAAGAAGCACAGAATTTATTTAGTTCAATGCTATGGTAAGGGTGATAATAGTTATCGGAAAATGTGATACTTTAACAGCATCAAAAAATATGACGTTAATCAAAATTCATTATAACAATCTATCAAAGAATGAAATTGAAATTATATTACCATAAACTATATTTTCATATTTTTTTAAATTTTCTCTAAAACGGTATAAATATTTGGAAAATTATTAACGGCATTAACCATTTTAGAACAAGCAAACTTTTTTTAATAAAGAACGCATTTGTTTTAAAATGTGAATAACAAAAAAAATTTTGCTCTTGTAAAGACAATCCGGGGACATATTGTATATTAAAACTATCTAATAAGTGCGCAAAATGAATGTTTGTTTTTTGATTGCGATGTGTGAGTTTTAAAAATAGACTTAAATGTCCGCATAAATAATAATTTTGGGCATCAATATACAAAGTATTTACAACAAACGTAAACATATCATTTGTCGTGTTTTGAAAAAAAAAATATTGTATTTCAAATTTCAATATACTAAAATCATGATTTTAGCAATACTTCTTATACAAGAAGTTTTTTTTTCTTGAAATTTATGAGAGTGGAACACAAAAAAAATAAAACAAATGATAGTTTTGTCATCATCATCATCATCATCATTCTCAGCTTATTCAACCATTTCCAATTATGGTGTAGTCTCCTCACATATTTAGATACTCTAGATACTTCTGTAAAACTTGGAAAATAAGTTCGTCATAATAATGCTCTTATTTATTCACTATTCTAATAAACAATATGCATTCCTTCGGAAACTCTCTATTTATTTATCTAGTAATGCTAAAACACTCTATTTGAAAGTCGATTAGAATAGTATGATTCATTGGCAAGCGATTTAAATATTTGTGATCAGGTAAAATTGTGAAGAGGAGGCTTAGCTTGCCGGCGCGCGGCAGATCAGTCAGTAGTTCATAGGCCGGCCGGCTGTGTAGTGTTGTGTTTTGTCACAGAGCTGACAAATGGGGGTTGCGAGTCTTTTGACTAACATAGTTGCAAGTCGTTTGACTGTAAGCAAACGGGGACCACAAGAAGAAAACCTCTTGTGTCCTGCCTTCGAGTTGGTCTTGAGAGTTTGAGGTCTCCATAGTGTCTTCTCGATTGACGATGCGGCGTTGGGGTAGTGAGCTACCCCAATTAGCTTATTCGATTGGGATGCGAATGTGTTTAGCGGCAGAATTGCGTCCGGGGGAAGCCCCTCTACTATTTCAGGTGACACTAGCTAGTTGTTGAGGATTATTAACCAATAGATCCGAATAATATTTGAATTAGATGGAAGATATGGAATGGGATATATTGAAAAGAATATCAGTGAGTGATGTCAGTGGCTAGGGGGCGGAGTACCCCCGGGTGAGTCTTACTATTTAACTACCAATTTTATCCAGATCAGTAAATGTTTGTCTTGTTATTTTCATGTAAGTGCTTGCCAATGACCAACTAAATGGATATTTGAGGTGAATTTCCATTGTGAGACCCGGTTGAGTAAGCCTAAAAAATAGCGATTTTACACTTCTTTAGAAATTTTTGTAGTTGGGCCCATTGTTGTCTATCGTTGGCTATGCGGGCCCAAGTAATTTCATAATATCATTGTCCCATGTCATGTTTGGTCTTCTTCTAGGTCTCTTAATTTCTCGTGGGTCTCTCTCTCTCCAATCGTTCCTCATAGCTGGGGTTCGTGCCTTCTATGAGAATACTTTTTGTTTTATAAGATCTTTCCAGGCTCGTCTGTCTTCAGCTCGATGGATATCTGAGTGTAGGGGTAGACCTGTTGTTTGTCTTACTTGATCGATCCATCTTGTTGGGGACCGACCTCTACATCTTTTTCCTTGGGCATCACCAGTTATAATAATTTTTTCCATGTTGTCGGTAGGTCTTCGAGTAATATGTCCAAAGTACTCGAGGATGCGTTTCAGATAGATAGCCGACAGTCGGGTGCTTATGTTGAGCTCATTAATAATTGACAGATTAGATCTTCTAGCTGTCCTAGGTATTCTCAGCATACGTCTGTAGCACCACATTTTAAAGCTGTTTATCATGCTCCTCGTGGGTACCATGCTGTAATTTTTGTGGCCCATCTGTTGTCCGTCCCTCTTACCAGTTGTCCTACCCATTGTCACTTAAAGGATTTGATTCTGTGGATGGCATCTATTACCTGGGTCTTTTGTCGTATCCACTCTATTCTTTTACGGTCTGTCTTAGTTCTTCCAGCGTATTTCGTTCCATTGAGCGTTGTGCGACCTGCAGTTTTCTTATAATGTTCGTTTTAAATGTCCAGGTTTCGCATGCATAGGTCATGACTGGTAGTACACATTGGTCGAATGTTTTCTTCTTTAGATAAAGTGGCATTCTATGTTTAAATGATAGTAGTTTTCAAAAATGTTTTAATATGCTCTATTTAATATAACAAAAATGCTACTCTTTTTTTCATGTGAAGTAGTAAAGCTGTAACTGAAATTAATTTACGCCAATGGAACATCAACCTGTATATTTTATCAAATTTTAATAACACTTCCTACTATATCTTTATTATTTAATGCCTGCAGAGTACTTAACTATTATTTGAATAATTAAACAGTGTGGTAGTGCGGTGTTTACATTTCTAGTGGATATATCTACTAAATTTAATTAAAACAACACATATAAACCCGTGTAACAGCTAATTTTACTTTATTAAAAACTTGTTTTATAAAGATTTAATACATGTTCATATTAGGCAACGGCCTAGCTACGTCGAAACACCGGTTCCGATTAGAACACCGAAGTTAAGCGACGTAAGGCGATACTGGTGGATGGACGGGTGACCGGTTCGAAACTCTGTATCTTGCTGTTGTCCAAAAAAGGCAAAAGTGTAAAATCTATTGACACGCACTGCTCATTCACGCCGCGCACCGGTTCGAGGCCGGATGAGATCGGATATCACGTGAGTAAGAGTCGATTTAGGCACTTGCCAAGTCGGTAGGCCATTGACCATGATATGGCCGAGGATCGCGGTTCGGATTCCGCGTAAACAAAGTAGGCCCTATCCAGATTAGCCCTGGCAGCAAAAAGGAGACGTTAACTGAAATCTTTTCTTTACTTTTTTACATGTTCATATTATATATGAAGTGAAACTTCTTTGCGCGCGCTGGTAAAAAAATTCAAGGCCTTGACGCACAAGCTAGCGAGACGAAAAGTGGTAAGGACAGCCTACGGCTTTGAAATACGTACTGTTTGACCAGCGGATCTGAAGCTACGGAAGGAATGCGAGAAAAAAAATCGATATTGCCACGTTTATCTATAAAATTGCAAAATTGCCAGACATGAACTATAAATTTAATATATTTTTATTATATATAATGTGTTTAGCATATATTCTGACGTATATTACTAAGGAATTTTAACGTAGTTCATATTGTTGGATATGTTTTATTTAATAACTTATTTCTGTCATTCTGTATAATCTGCTTATTACGAAAGGTGAAGATATCATTGGCAAACCGATATCATTGGCAAACCGGCATCGCCGCGCATGGCCGCCTATTCATCGAACATGATTGGCGAGAGTACGTCACAGGATTTGTTACCACGCGGTTGCCATGGCTTTTACGCCTTTCCTATTCGCTAGCCTTATCCCCAACTTCACGGTTACTTCTGAAAAGAGTAGAAATGTTGAATACTATTGAAATATCCAGTGGCGGTGTCATTCTTTTGATCATTATTACTTTCTTTCATTATTTTATACCGGTTATCCTAAACTTTATTCCTATATTTTTCGTATATTTAATAGTTAAAATGTGTTATATTGTTTTGTTATCTTGTTATAATGTTTTTCGTTCGTAGTTTTTAATTATTAATATTAATTTTGATCGTATATTTGTGTTTTAAAATTAATAAATTTGTTAAGGGTAAGACGCTACATAGTCAGGACAAGAGAAATAATAGCTAATTTATATAGGCAAGTAGAATAATAATAATGTAATTATTAGAATACTAAAATTAAATATTGGCTAAAATGAAAAGCACCCACATTTTACCTAAATATTTTAGCTAAAGTGAAATAAATGTAAATGTAATGTAAATAAAAAACGTGGATGAAACCTCATTTGGTTTATTTCCTTGTGTTCATAACAGGGTTTGCGACGAAGCTACAGAGAGTTCGCTTAAGTTGCCGCTTAAACGTAAACTTG